ACTGTATTCCGCCTGTGGGCCGCCGCCGCTGTATTCCGCCTGTGGGCCGCCGCCGTCCCGCCGCCGCAACCCTAACCCTTACTTCTGGTTTGGACGTTATGGTTTTATGGTTTGGTTATGGTTTGCGCAGCGGCATAGTCTGCTTTTTGCCGGAGAAGCTAGTTCGATTTCTTGGCTTAGTTGTCCGGCTTGCCGGGGAAACAATAACTTCCCTTTTTTTTATGTGGTTTTATGGTTTTTATTTCATTTTTTTAAATGATTTTTTTTATGGTTTATAAGTTTATTAAATTTATTTCGAATGATTTTTAAAGTTTAATCATTAGACCCCCGCCCCCGCCCCGCACCCACACCCACACCCGCCCACTATCTCACCTCGATGACAGCGGTGGCGCCACTGTTCCTCACACAGAATCGCTCGGCGGCCTGCCCGCGGAAGAACGCGCGTCCGGACGTGGCGCCGTACAGACACACGTTGCCAATGAGGATGTTGTCCTGGGGGCGGAACGTCGCCGGCATGTTCTTGGGAGGGTAGACGATCACCTCTCCTCCCGAGAGACCCTGAAGAGACACGGACGCGGGGACGTTAGCGGCAGTCTACGTGCCGTGGTGGCGGGGCGCATGTATGCAGTAGAGTGGCTAGGGAATAGCTGTAGATGGAAACGCTCTTAAGAAATAATTATTTACATGTACAATTACACAGCAGAAAAGACATTCACATGTACATGTACATAGCAGAATAACGACACACATGTACAACGTACACGTACATGTATAACGTAGAATAACTATATATATGTGGATGCACATAATAGAAGCTTTTATATAATTATGTACATGTACAGAATAGATTTAGCTAAACTCATGTATATGTACATGTATATGTACGTATTGAGAAACAGCTGTAGAGAACAACGCTCAATTCCCACTGATCGCAAAATCTCGATATCTCCGAGCGCCCCCCGCCCCCACCGCCAACATCTGCCACACGGTGGCGCTGCTTGCTGACACCCTACGCACGGTGGCGCCCCCTCACCTTGGCGACGTAGTCGTTGGCGTCTCCTTCCAGCTCGAGCGAGACGCCGCGCGCTAGGAACGCTCCGAAGCTCTGACCTCCCGACCCTGTCAGCTTCACAATGATGCTGAAACATGGTTCATACAGGACTGAAAATTTTTTCAAGGACTTTTCAAGGACATTTTATCGGAAATTCAAGGACATTTTATCGGACATTAGGCCTGGCCGTATGTAAAATAAACGCGAGTCATAGTCGTTTGCCGGCCCACCAATACGTGTTAATTATACATTACGTGTTGCCAACAGCAAAAAAACAACAAACAACGAAAAAACGCTATTTTTATTGAAGTTTGCACATTATTGATGGTACAAAATTTCTTTTCATTACAGGCAAGAATGCTTTCTAAAAATTCAAGGACACTTTAATGCAATTCAAGGACTTTTCAAGCACAAAATCAACATTTACTAAATGTCAAGGTCAGGGTAAAGGGGGAATATCTGTCTCCCCTTGCTTCCTGCGTTATCCTGTACACCCTTGAACGTACTTGTTGTTTTACGTTAACATACGTAATACTTCTATTTTTTAAATATTATTAATATTATTAAATTAATATTATATTATTATTATTATTTTAATATTTTATTTTAATAATTTTATTGATTATATGTCAATAAATCTTCTTACATGTTTGCTATGTTTTTCTATATCTCTGCTCCATCTTTTATTAATGTTCCGGAGATGTTAACTAATGGAGTAAATACATCTCTAGAACACCAGCCCTAGTCATCCTTACCATCCTCCATTCCCTAGACCATCGGACCTTCCCACGCTCCCTAGACCTTTTCCTACCCTACTTGATTTTTGCCCCTCCTCCCCCTCCTGCTTACCTTCCCTGTGGCAGACCCTCCTCCTCCTCACCTTCCCTCTGGCAGACCCTCCTCCTTGTAGGCCTTGGAGATGTGGTAGCTGAGGGTGACTCCACCCCTCCCCCTCCTCCTCCCCATCCTCCTCCTTCCTCCTCCTCACCTTCCCTCTGGCAGACCCTCCTCCTTGTAGGCCTTGGAGATGTGGTAGCTGAGGGTGGCGCCGAACGTGCGGTCCACGTTGCGTATGGTCATCTTGACCATCAGCTCCGACTGCAGTCCTTCGATGACCGGCATCGCCTTCTTGATCAGCTCATTCTCCTGCGCACGCAGAGGCGATGGGGGTCAGCGAGGTCAAGGGGTCAGCGAGGTCAAGGGGTCAGCGAG